AAAAATATTAATAATTAACATGCGTTTTTTACTTATTAACTGAGATTTTCCGACAACCGACAAAAATCAAAAAGTTTAGCCGACTACCGACAAAGATCGAAAATTTTAACCGACTACCGACAAAGTAATTGAATTTTAACCGACAACCGACAAGTGGACCCCCCCCCATTCAGACCCTCGTAAGTGAAAGGCACGCGAAATCTGGGAAAAGGGGGCACCTGTCCTCTCCCCAGTTTCCTCCCGTTTTATTTTCGCGGACCCGACTATCTCGGAGACTGGAGCAGGCCTGAGGGACAGTTGCGTTTTCAGACCAAGAAACACCAATAAAGAAGGAAAGAAGAAAGAGAAAAACGAAGGAAGAAGACCTTGTTTAATTATATAAACGCCAATGAAATACCAGGTGAGCTTTCGCGCGAAAATATGATACCTTTACTCGTGAAAATAACATGTTATCTTCACACGTGAAAAGATCACCGCTGCTATGACTACATGATAAATCACGCCTTTTACAGCAAAAAGCTGTTAAGGAGAAATGGTTTGGTATTTCATTGGTGTTTATATAATAAATAGAACATTACATGGTGACTTAGAGATATGACATTTCCCTTCTCGTGTTGGAAAATATTTCACTCGATCGCTGCGCTCACTCGTGAAATATTATTCACCTTTCGAAGAGACATTTCGTATCTCCGCGCGGCCATGTAATATCCTCTATTTAAAACGTTACGCAGTTTGTTTAAATAAATCATTAGCCTGCGTGGCAAGCGTTTCCGCGTGAGTTCGTCGAGAAAGTTGGGACGAGAGCAAAAAAAAAAAAGAATCAGGCTAATAAATCATTTGTTGCACTCTTATATCTATATTAAACAATTGTCAATGGCTCTTTTCTAGAATTTCGTACCTCATTTATTTCTTATCACACGCCTCAGTCTTTCATATCTTTTCAGCTGTTACTGGTTGTTACCCAGCCAATAGGAAGTCGACACTTTTTCCGAGCATGACCGACCTAGCAATGAATTCTTTACTGAAATACTCTAGATAGCACTTTCACCGGTGGATAGCGCTATCAACTTAATTTTTGAACAACTAGGACCTGATGATCCACAAAATGGGTAAAATTACAGTGGCACTCTCTCTACAGTTGTAACGGCTCCAATTGCCCGTCCTATAAAGGTGTCTGACCTATAGGATGGATCTAGACCGGCGTGGAGTTTTGATCCCCCATTCCGGTCCCTTTTTCACAACATTCCCATTTTCCGAAATTCTGTCATCTCGATCCCGAATACCATTTTCTTTTTAGTTGTGATGAAAAGAAAGTACTTCATTTTGGAAAAAAGGCTTAAGTTTGTGTACAAACCCTGGTGTATGATCATGACAAAGCACTGATCTTGCACCTCATAGAGAATTTTGATCAAAGTACAGGTAAGATGTAACGGTTTAAGCTTACGAGGAAATTTTAGAGCTAACGAAACTTCATAGTTGTGGCTTAGTTAAGAATTTTAAATTAGGCCCTTTCAGAATTGCTTGGCTTAAGAGGGGTCAGCTAGGGACGGGTGAGTAGTCAAAGTGTTTTGTGTTGGTCAGTCTACCGCGGAGTTTTTAAGTCACGTGCCCAATACCGGTATTCCGTAGCTAGTGCTGGAGGAACCAGAGAGGTGAGATCGGACGTCAGCATGTAAAGGCGTACTCCTGCTGCCACGTTTTGATCACACCTCGCCCACCAAGACAGTTGACGGCACAAGTCAGATATATAGACCTTGACGTCGGGGCCTACGTCCCCTACTCTTTTCGAACAATGTCACGGGTTCTTTTACGTCCCCTTCCAACTGAAGTACAAGGATGAAGGAGAAAAGGGCCAACGGCTTAATGTCCCTGCCCAATGATCTGAACTGAGAAAGGGGTTTCACAGCTAGCATGATCTCACCACTTTTCTTAAAGACCTTGGTTGATGGTCCTGGCGGGGTTTGAACTCACGACCTCCCGCTCAGAAGACCGGCGCTCTTCCGGGCGGCGGTTGAAGAATACCATTGCATGAGACCCTCCACGGCCGGCTTTTGTAACAGGGAAAAACAAAATGAGGATGAACACATGTCTGTAGCTCAAACTTTTCTTCGCCATGACCTGATGATGAAGCCAGGCCTGGAATCTCGCATCGATATAACGAAGGGCCAAGGGACTGCTAGCCTGCATAACAGGCGCTTATTTGGCTCATAAAGTGCCTGTTATGTGCGCTTGGCGAAAACTATATATAGATCTGACAAGGCTGCATAAACGCGGAGAAGGATCTGGGAACCAGTCGGAAATAACGCAATCGGAAGTCGATTGCAAAATCAGATTTTGCCTTTATTAGCGTTTATTACACAGGGTCCAGGGGAGTTGCGTGTGAATAAATAAATTACTTGTTTAAAGTCTCACCTTAAAAAATGGCTACACCTGTCGCTTAGCACGATTAATTAGCCCAATGGGATCTTTATGAATCTACTGTAAACGATTTCTTCGCTTTTTATCTGACCCAGATTGACTTTTTTGCTCGCCATTTTGAAAATCAATATCCGCAAGCCATATCCTCGCTGGTGCACGGCACGTCGCCCGAAGGGCGACCGAGGCACGAAGTGCCAAGTAATTTATACCGTAGCCGATCTTGCGAGCCCTCAGTCTCTTGGTTTGCGGTCTATAGAATGTGTAAAGCCTATCTACTTGATATGTGTAACGAAACTGTAACGCGATCAAAATAACCCATTTTTTCAGAGGTTTTCGACGGGTTTTGATAATCTAACGACAAGCACACCCCTCTTATCTAGGTTTCGAAAAGTGTGCCACGGTAAGGCGTCAAAGCGAACACAAGAAAGATGAAGCCACACGTGCGAAGAGCTGTTCGAGCATATCTAGCCTTAGCGCTGTTTTATCTCGTGAATAACCTATCCTTATCAACTGCACAAGACGACTGTCTTCCAGGCATTGGAGGAAGCGGAGATTTGAAGTCTGTTGTCCTCAACATACAGACATGGGAACACCGATCGTCCAACTTTCATGTGAGTATGAATTTATATTGCAACAGTATTCTTTAGCTTGTCACTCTTAGCAAAATTCAAGAAAAGAGTCATTCAGCAAAAGTGCTCGTTGACCTCGTTGTGTGCCACTGATTCACGTCGACTTCTACGGATGAAGAGGTTTCATTCAGATCAGTAGTCACGTCATCACCAGTTTTCAGGTTTCTGTTTACGCAGACTCCAATCGGCAACCCAAAATTACGTTTGGAGTTCTTATGGGTTTCCTTGCCAAATTTTACTCTTAGTGAATCAGCGAATCACTACTGAATCGGCAATTTTTGGAAAATATCTGTTCGGAAGACAATTTGAGATCTAGAATTTTCGGAACATTTGTCGTAAAATTTCTTGCTTGCCTGCCTCTCCTAGGATTTTCGAACATCTAAAAAATGGTATAATTACTCATTTTTAACGGATTTTTACCTTAAAAAGGTAACCTAGAATTTTCGGGAACCTTTTTTCTGGCTGAAATTTTCGAAAAGGTAAGTTTTGATCCCTATAATTTTCGGATCACTAGACTTACAGCTAGGAAATCCGAACAGATGAAAAATTTTTAGGGGATAAAAATATGCCTATATTTACCGTTTAAATACTAAAATACGTTCAACAATGCGATGTTTAAGTGGTTTTGAACTATATTCTCGTTGGGTGCCCCTGACAACGGATTATTCATACTGAGATCGTGAAAGAAGCTTAAACGCACTCGAGCGAGAGCAGCGGGGGCGGTGGCCTTTGATCGCCTGCATGCAAATGCCAAATAGGCTAGGCTAACAACAATCATTGTGTCTTTAAAAAAAAATTTCGAATCTGATTGGTTCTCAGCAGCCCTTATATGTTGCTTAAAATTATGGTTGATGCAGGACCAGAACTGTCCATTTTGATCGAGCATCAAATGTTGCTAGCCAATTTGTACTCCACTCTCGGGGGCGTAGCGCAAGGTTTTGAAGGTGTACGCACGGAAAGGAAGGTTGGACCCCATAGGGGGTTCTGGGGGGCATTCTCCCCCCGAAATATCTTTCAAATTAGGGACTCAGAAATACTATTTCCTGCGTTTTCCGCAGGACATTTTTTTGTAAATAAATACGAAGGGCAATGCAATAATTAGTTTTTGTAATTTTTACCTCTAGTGTTCTTCTCGGTAAGGTGCAATGTTTACGGAAAAAGGTAAAACATTGAAGCCATCAAGGAGGTTACAAGCAAAGGGCGAGATATCTACCCTTCAGACGGGTATAGACACCAATATATGTGAAAGATTTATCGATGGCCTCAATGCTTTCAGGAAATAAATATATATAATATATATATTTTCCAGATTTCAGCTGTAGCCACTGTCGTATGTACGTATATGGACACTACGCCCCTGACTCTGTCCTATTACGAGGGTCTGACCGAGGGTCTCAATGTGGTGGTGGCTATTACGGTTATCGTATCAACCTCGTTCCCAGGGTTCTCTCTCTTGCTTCGAGAAAGAAACCCTGGTTGCGGCGTTGGTTGCGGCTGGTCACGCGGAAATGTCTGTCAATAAACTGCGCAGCGGGGGTAGGTCCCCCACTAAATTTTGTCGACTGGACGATGAAATACTATCTGGGGTAGGGAGAATATTCTTGCTTCAAAATAGCGCTTGAGTTTCTCAGTTGCGTGCAAACTGCGTTGCTTTCGGATAGGTACGATCCCTTTTTTTTGAAGGCAAAAGAGGTTATTTTTTGGAGCGTTTGTACTTGCGTAAAGGTTTTTGCTTACCGTCCTGCCAACAGGATATGGAAAATATTTAGATTTGAAGTTTTACCGTACTTATTGAAGGACGAGGATGCCAGAAAGCTGTCGAGCCAGGCAGGTCCTTTGGTTGATTTGAATGTTTCGCCTCTTAATTCGTTAATGTATGAATAGATTAATTTTCGGGTGTTAACATTTAACAACAAATACCAGCGCAATCAGCTGATAATAAACTAGGCGGTAGACTCCTCTCGGGCCCCGACATGCAGAGCAACTTTTGTCATAGCGACAGTTTTTTTGCTCTTCTTCCCCTCCCTTATTTTTTATTTGGCTCCCAAAATCTGGGAACCACTTGACCTGCCGCAACCAGGGTTCTTTCTCGAAGCTTGAGAGACGACCGTGGGAACGAGGTTGTTATGGTATAGCAGGCAAATGCGTAAGTTTTTCACCTTGTGTTTAGTACTCAGATATTTTTTCTTGCCTTTTGTGTTTGGTTGCAGTTCGATGATCCAGTAATGGTCTCATCTAACACCTTCACGGTTTCAAAAGGTTTCGAAGTTTCCAGGCTGAGTGGCGCTAATGTACGCTTCTACGGTGAAGAACTCTGTGTTGCCGTAACTAAATATACGGAAGTAGAACAGAACGATGGAACGACAAAAACTAGCTCTAGTTGTCTTAAATCCTGTCTCAGCGTTGGCGGTGCAACACGCCTAGACACTTACTCCGGGACATTTGGCAGACCCTTATCCACTAACCCTCCATGCTGTTACAGGGGATTGATTAAATATCTGCGATTTTCCATCCCTGCACCCCCGACCACGCCTCCCCCCTCCTATCAGTGCATTGAATGTTTCGACTGCGATGGGGCTAGTACCAAGATATCAACGAGTACATGCAATGCCGGTGAGAAGTGCTTCACGTTGAAGTTGCAAAAACACCAGGATGGCGAAGTGGTTATTGTTAAAGGCTGTTCTCACCACCTCCGGAACTGGGGCAAAAATCTGTATTGCGAGGAGGAGTGTAAAAGCAATGTGCGACTTTGGCCGGATGATAGCTACAGTCGCCACTATAGTGTTTGTGTGTCGTGCTGCTCGGGGGATAAATGTAACGGTGAAAAAAGGGTTGATTTTGGTGCTACTTTTTATGGCCACAATCGACACATGATGATTTAAGCACTTATTTTTGGCGTCTTTGTTATTAGCCGACGGAACACTGATCCCATATAACCCGTTTTTCTGGCCGAGTAAAACGTGTTTACAAGTCTTGCAAGCAAAGTTTTGAAAACCAAATGATGCTAAATTACAACTCATAAACTCATACAAAGCATGTATGTCTGATCAACTTAGAACAATCAACAACAACAATTTCAGTTATTCAGAGATCAGCTATTTTTATAAAGCTTATATATAGCCCGTAGGTAGTTTGAGCGAGTCGAGGAAGGGATCAGAACGAGAGTAGCCTGTTGGAGGCTGTCAGATAGTAAGGATGACGTGTATACGTAAGTGAAAGGCACGCGAAATCTGGGAAAAGGGGGCGCCTGTCCTATCCCCAGTTTTCCCCGTTTCAATTTTTGTGTTCGTGTCGTCTCGATTTCGCGGACCCGACTATCTGGGAGCCTGGAACAGACTAGAGGGACAGTTGCGTTTTCGGACCAAGAAACACCAATAAAGAAAGAAAGAAGAAGGAGAAGATAAAGAACAAGAGAAGAAGACTTTGTTATAAAACGTTAGGTTTTTTTTAAAAGAAATTAGTTGTTGCACTTTTATATCCATATTAAACATTCCATTGAAAACAATTATCAATGGCTCTTTTCTAGAAATCCTTACCTCATTTATTTCAGTCTTAACACCCCTCAGTCTTTCAAATCTTTTCAACTGTGACTACCCAACCAATACGAAGTCGACACTTATTCCGGGCATGACCGAACTAGCAAGGAATTCCTCACTGAAATACTCTAGATAGCACTTTCACCCAGTATCAAATCAATATTGAGTTATCAAGTGGATACCGATCCCCACCTTTTAAACACCTAGCCCCAGTTGTTGAGAAACTGGATAGCGCTATCCATCGGATAAATCTCTATCCAGCGGATAAGATTTTGGGAAACCAATTGCTCTATCCACTGAATAGAGATTTATCCGGTGGATAGCGCTATCCAGCTTTTGAACAACTGGGGCTTGATGATCTACAAAATGGGTAAAATTACAATGGTACTCTCTCCAACGTTGAGGAGCGGCTCCAATGGCCCGTCCTAAAAAGGTGTCTGACCTAAAGAAAGAATCTGGACCGACGGGGAGTTTTTATCTAGACTGCAAAACAGTCCGTATTTTTGCGTATTCAAGTACGCGCGAGCAGTCAAACAAAAGGTCTGGAATGAGGCTGAAAACAGAGAGTCAGACTGGGGAGAGACGCTGGGCGTGTGAGCTTCGCGCGCGTAAGACTCTTACGCCACGCTTTACCGATTTCTTTACTTATTTTGAGAAAAAGACCGACTGTTTTGCAGTCTAGTTTCGATCCCGCATTTCGGTTCCTTTTTCACAACATTCCCGCATCCCGAAATTCTGTCATCTCGATCGCCGAATACTATTTTCTTTTTAAATACCACATCCCGTTACGTGCAAATTTGACGAATGCTGGCCAAGTAACGGTCAAATCCCTTATCCCGTCAAGAAATTTTGCGTTCTCCTATATCTCGCGCTATTTTTCGTTCAAATTCCGGATCCTAAGATTCCGACCCTTTCGATACCCTGTTCAGAGAGTTCGGTTACAATAAAAGTGACTGAAGAAGGCATGGAATAGGCCAGGGCAAAAAATTTTTTAAAGTCGTATATTTTCAACGATCCGCCATTTGCTTTCATTTTCCGGTCTTTTGAAGTGAGAAAAGTCTCAAAGACCTCTCAGGGAGCTCCTCCCACCTATAAACCTGCACAGTCCTTCACCACGCCGGAGAGCTGAGGGGTGGGGAAACAGGAGAAACTTTGGCATATGATAAAATTGGGCTGGACTTAACTGGACATATCAATAAAAAATCGAAGAATAAAACATGTTCACGGGGAATTCCCCTTTTCACGACCATCATGGACCTCTCAAACAGAGCTTGGGTAGGCTGTGCGCGATTAGTAAACTTGAATTGTAACTGAGTGAAGTCTGGGTTCGAAAAGAAAGCAAGATGGCGCCTGATTATGGCGCCTTTGTTCAACTTCAAATCGAATGCGTAAGGATTCTGCAAAAACGCGGATGGTCTTTGATTTCAGTGGCTTATTAACTTGTGGATCATATAACTGTGATGAGAAGAAAGTACTTTATTTTGGACAAAAAGGCTTAAGTTTGTGTACAAACCCTGGTGTATGATCATGACAAAGCACTGATCTTGCACTGCATGGAGAATTTTGATCAAAGGACAGGTAAGATGTAACGGTTTAAGCTTACGAGGAAATATTAGAGCTAACGAAACTATATAGGATTAGCTTGGTTAAGAATTTTAAATTACGTCTTGTAAGAATTGCTTGGGTTAAGAGGGGTCAGTTGGGGAAGGGTGGGTAGTCAAAATGTTTTGTGTTGGTCAGTGTACTGTAGAGTTTTTAATAAGTCACGTGCAGAATACCGGTATTCCCTGGCTAGTGCTGGAAGAAATGGAAAGCTACAGAGTGGTTTATTTTTTCTCCATGTTTGCATGTTTTACATGGCCAGTGTTCATCCTGTTACCCCTAACACAGGCTTCCCAAGCAGCTTGAAAGTCCTTAAAAGCCTTGAATTTTAAAATAAAAATTCAAGGTCTTGAAAGTCCTTGAAAACTGCAGTCAGCAGTGGAAAGTCCTTGAATTTTGATGCTAACTTTATAGTTTAAGTAGAACTCCAAAGAGACAGGAGCAAACACAGAAAGAGCTTCAGGATGAAATTACTCATGGTGTGGAAGAACTAAAAAAGATATAGATTCAAGGCTCTTTTTTGCACTGAATGGAGACCTTAAAAAATGGGAAATGTCTCCTTGAAAGTTTGTGGAAAGTCCTTGAATTTTTTGTTCAAATGAGGCTACGAACCCTGCTAACCATGACCAGAATCTAATTTTTTCTCATGATAGACCTTTGTAAAGAGTCAATTTCTAGAATGGACCCTTCCAACGTACTCTTTTAAATTTTAACAGTCAAACCTCTATTAGCGGTCACCCATCAATTTTCCGAATTTTGCTTCCCATATTCACTATAAATTTGACCTCTATTCATTGGTCACCTATTAAGATGACTCGCTGTTTGTATTTCCCAAATGGCAAATTTTATTGTAATTTATCTCTGTTAAACGGTCACCTTGTTTTTGTCACAAAGAACTCTCGCTGGCACTGAACAAAGTCAGTGACTTGCTTCACCAATTTAGGCAACCATAACTGAATTTCTCTCCATGTTGAATGAGATTTTAAAATTGCTGATGATGTGCTTGATAATAAGTTGATGTGCTCCCTTACTGTGAAAATTTGTTGTTTAGGCATGAACTCCTCAGAACATCTAATGCTTTTATCATATTTCAAATACTGTTGTTGTAAATAGAGTAATCAATTTTGCCCTCTTGGGTCAAAATTTCTGCCACATTATGGGCTTAATTTTAGAAACGCGCTATTAACCCATTCGCCACTGGAGATGTGCTAAATGTGACCACAAAGCCTTTTACTGGTCATACCATTTGTGACCTTTTGATCCAGATGCAAAAAGCAAAATTTCGAGGAAGTTTTTAGGTACAAAAAAGTTTTTGTAGTTTTTGTAGTTTTTGGGACGACTAAAAAATAAGATGACTAGGATGACTGGAATAACTAGAATGACTGGGCTGACTAGGATGACTAGTGATACAGGGATTACTAAGATGACTGGGATGACAAAAAAAATAGGGATGACTAGGGTGACTGGGATAACTTTGATGACTTGAATGACTAAGGTGACTGGGTGGACTAGGATGACTAGCGTGACTGGGATTAGGGTGACTGGGATAGCTGTGATGACTGGAATGACTGTGATAACTAAGATGTCTAGCATTACTAGGATGACTGGGATAACTGGAATAACTAGGATAACTGTTGGATGACTAGGATGATAATGACTGAAGTGACTTGAAAGACAAGGATGACATGGATGTCTGGGATGACTACGATGAATAGAATAATAGGGATTACTATGATGACTGGGATGACCTGGATGATTGTGATGACTCAGATGACTAGGATGGCTGGATGTCTGTGATAATAAGGATGACTGGGATGACTTGGATTAATGGGATGACTGAGCTGAATTGGATGACTAGGGTGACTGATGTAACTCGGTTGACTGAAATGACTAAGATGACTTTGATGAACAGGGTGACTGTGATGTGTGGAATGACTTGAGTACTGGGAACTAGAATGATTTCGTTGATTAGGATGACAAGGATATCTGGGATGACTTGGTTTAACTTGGATGACTGGAATGACTACCAAAATTAATACAATGAGTGGAATCTACACTGACAGGTTTAAGAACGTTTTTAGTAACAGAATAATTTTTAGATATGATATGTAAATAGTTTTTTGAGTTTATATTGTAACTTAGGATATGTAATTTTATCTTAAGAAATAAAGATTATTATTATTATTTATTATTCTTATTAGTGGATGACTGGGGTAACTAGATTGACTGGATCACTGGTGACTAGGATGACTTAGTAGTATAACTAAGATGACATGGATGACAAACTGGGACTGGGGTAACGTTGATGACTAGAATGACTAAGGTGACTGGATTGACTAGGATTACTAGGGTGACTGTGATGGCTGGAATGACTTGGATGACTAGGATGACTAGCATTACTACAATGACTTGGATGACGAAGATGGCTGGAATGACTAGAATGACTAGGATGACTGTTGGATGACTGGGATGGCTAGAATGGCTAAAATGACTGGAATGACTCAGAAGACGAGGATGACTGTTATTATTGTGATCACTGTGATGGCTGCAATGACTGGGATTACTATGATGTCTGGGATGACCTGGATTATTGTGATGACTTTGATGACTGTATTATTACTTTGATGAATAGGATGATTGGGATGTCTGGGTTGACTAGGATGACTGTGAAACTAGGATGACAAGCATGACTAGGATCAATTAAATGAGTAGGATGAGTGGGATGACAAGAATAACTGTTATTT